AGTGTGACCCCGCGGGGGTGGGGTGGGGTAGAGAAGGGCGGGTGGGGTGGGTGTGTTTTGGTTTGGTTAGATTGGGTGTTCAAGGATAATATATGGTGTGGATGCTTCACATGTGGGGGGTGCTGTTGGCAGAACAAAGCCTCGCTGCAAGGAATCACCCACACCACTGCAAGGCCGGGCGGGCCCACGCACGCGAAAATTGTGAAACGTGGGCGGTAAAGGGCAAAGGACTTCCAGGCGCGTGGGTGGAGCGCTCTTATGCAAATTCCAACGGTGTTGGGGATCACAGAGCGACACGCCCTCGGCCCCACCAACCGCCGCGAGGCAGTGCTGTACTTGATGAAAGCGCCTTGTGCGCGGCAGGCAGCGACCCCACGCTGCCTCGGAAAAAGCACCAAGCCCACCTCCACGGCGGCGGCGAACGCGGCGTCCTTGGTGGACTGGTGGAGGAGGTGCACGCCGTGGCCCAGCGCGCCCAGCGTGCGCGCTATGCACGCGAAAGCGTGGTCGCCGCCGGCGCAGCGCGCGCGGCCGGGCTGGTAGGACGCTGAGTAGAACAGCCAGCGCGGCATCGCGCCGCGGCTGCCGCTGGAGCCTGCTGCTCGCGCTGCTGCAGAACATGTCGAGGTGTGGGAGAGTGGCCGGAGGAGCTTGGGAGCAAGAGGCGCGCAAGACGTGCTCATGCTTGGGGCCAGCGGGGGCGGTGTGCCTGTCTGCTACCGAGGTTGATTGCGGTTGCGGTCACGATTTCGGGCGGCGCTTGCCGTGCTCAGCGGCGCACCTCGTCTGTCCCTGTCTTCTCCTTGAGAGCCTTACAGGTCAGGTGACCGCGTGTCGCCACGCGCCCGCCGCTCACTCGCAGTCGGCACCCGAGAGTGCTGCACTGTGCGTCTGTCGTCCAGCACAACGAGCTGGCCGTCGGCCACAGTATTGTACCAGCCTTACGTGACTTGTATTGCAAACACTCCTTCCCCGTCGAAGGGCGTTGAGAACTCCCACTCCCGCTGCTGCAGCCACGGTTTGAAGCGCGGGCTCTGCTACTAAAGTCTCAGAAATATATCAGGCAAAGAATTAAAGTGGCTCTCAGGGGCCCGTGACTGCATCATTGTGATTCCACGCGCGGCCATTGGACCTGGGCACGACCACAATGAGCGATCCAGCCTGCCTCGAGCTCCTGCGGGGGGCGAGGCAGGCCCAGGATGAGGGCCTCATAGCGGCCGAGGACTATAGCCTGGTCAAAATGGCCTATCTCAGGGCCCAGCAGATCAAGGCCGGGCTGGACGCGGGCTTTATAAGGCAGGACGATTATGACAAGGCCCGGGACGCGTACCTAACGGCCTTGGACTTTGTTGTGATGTCGACGCAGCCGAGCGCCAGCGGGCCGGAGCCGGGCGCATCTGGGGCAGCGGCCGCGCCGCCCTCACAGGCAGCTGCAGCACTGGCCCGACCGGCGCTTGCTGCGCCGCCCACGCTGGCACCCCTGGCTCTGCCGCGAGTGCGGGCAACGAGCTCGGACGCCGCGCCGTCGCCAGCGGAGGCTGCGGTCCCCAGGGTCAGCGCGCCAGCAGCAGCTGAACGGGCGCTCGCAGAGCGCATACGTGCCGCGGCGTCCGCGTCGCAGGGCGGGGCCCTTGCACCACCACCTGCGTTGACGCTCGCCCCTGCAGCAGCCGTCGCAGCAGCAGCAGCAGGCCCCTCCCCTGCCGCCTCGGCGGCCCAGGCGTCACCCGCGCAAGCGCCCGCGCCGGCGCCGGCGTCGGCGTCGCTGCCGCCCGCGGCCGCTAACCGCTCCGGGCTCGCCTCCCCCAGCGGCACGGGCGGCTGGGCGGCGCCACGCGAGTCTTACGCGGCCGCGCTCAACACGCCGCTCGCCCAGCGGACGCCGGGGGTCAGCAGCGCGAGCGGCGCGGCGCAGCGCCCGGCTACGACGGGCGGCACAAGCGCCGGCTTCGGCGGCGGCGGAGCGGCCCGCAACGGCGGGGACGCCATGCCTGCGCCCGGAACGGTCAGCCGGTCTCGCTCTATGTTTGGCGCGGCTGCCGGCTACTCGCCGCGCGCGGCCGGCTACTCGCCCCGCGCCGCGCCCTCGCCGCGCGTCAGCGACGGCGGCGGCAGCGCGCACCGCAGCAACAGCGGGCCCCCAAGTCCCGCCGCCGGCGCGCGCAGCCCCAGCGCCGGCGGCGCCTTTGGCGCCTCGGAGCGCGCCGCGGCGCCGAGCAGCGCCCCGCGGCCCGCGAGCGCCAACGGCGGCCCGCCCCTGCCGCGCGCGCCGGTGTCGGGTGCGGGCGCGGGTGCGGGCGTGGTGGTGGGCACCGCGATACCGGCGGACGTGCCGCAGTATGCGCCGCGCGGCAGCTTTGCGGGCAAGTGTTCCATGGCTGGCATAGGGCTCCACGAGGACTGCGTGAACCTGTTTGTGCACATGAGGCAGCGCAGCAAGGTGCGGAGCCAGACATGAGGCGGCCGTGGCACAGGGGGTGGGGGCGGTTGCGCGCAGGGGTCAGGGATTGCGCCGACAAGCGCTCCCTGTGGTTTGCCGGCGGCTCCGGCTGCAGGCGCGCACGGCATGCGCTCCTCTCGAGCGAGGAAGCACCAGCCGCCGGCCCCTTGGTCCCGCGCTGGCGCTTCTGCGCGTTGTTAACATTGTGACACTGTGAACGGCTCAGCATGTCCCGGCCTCCCTGTCGAACGATCCGCTCCTTCCCCCTGCCCCACCAACAGTTCAAGTGGATCACGTATAAGGTGGACGACAGCGGCAAGACGGTGGGTACAGGGGGAGGGGGCAGGGTGGGGTCATGGCTAGGTGCGGCCCCGCAGGACGCGCAGAACGGCCAGGACGGCAGGCGCCACTCGACGGCGGGCGGAAAACCGGGGGCGCGCCACGCACGGGGACGGCTGGTGCTGAGAGCAAGCTGGCGCGTTCAGGCATGGCTGCCTTCAGCGCAAGGCCCCCGTTGCACTGCAAAGGGGGGTTAAGGAAGGGTCACCCCTGCTGCCTCCCCACAAGCATACCCACACACATGTGCCCAACACACTCACATACCCAACACACCTGCGCACCCACGCAACACATGCGCGCGCACAAACACTCTATCTCCCCCTCTCTCGTCCTGTCTCCCCCCCAGGTGGTCCCGGACCACTATGGCGTGCGGTCCTCTACCCACGACGCCTTCATAGCGGTGCTGCCCCCGGCAGAGTGCAGATACGGCGGTGCGTGAGGGCGGCACGCGCAAGAGTTGATGTGTGTGTGTGTGTGTGTGTGTGTGTGTGTGCCAGATATTCATGTGTGCGCGTGCGTGTGAGTTTGCGAGAGTGTGTGAAGGGGAGAGAGAGGGAGAGGGAGAGGGATTGAGAGATTGGCTAAGCGTCCCTTGTGAGAGCACACAGGGCGCTGCAAGCCCCTTGCTGCTGTGCACCGCCCGACGTGTCCAGCTTTGCCAGCGCTGGGGTGCCTTTGACCGTGGTCCTCCCCCTGCAGCCATGCTCACCCCTGTTGGCCCCCACCAACGTGCGCCTTGCCACCTCTCTTAACCCCTTGCCCCCTTCCGCCCCCAGTGTACGACTTTGAATATGTCAGCGCAGAGAGGGGCGGCTTCAGCAAGCTGGTCTTCATCTTCTGGTGGGGGGTGGCGGCGCATGTGTAGACATGTGTGATGGTGGGAGTGAGGCCATGCTTGGATGTGTAAGATTGTGTGTGCATGCGCGTTACACAGCAGGGGCTAGGCTGGGTTGTGTCGCACCTGCACAACGTGCACAGCGCTCAGGCTCCGAAGCTAGCGTGTGCTTGATCTCAAGCCTGGGCCAAGCGCACTAGGACGCCGTCGACACCGCATCCCCCGCGACTGCCCCCTCTCCCTCTTGTGTCTCAGGGCCCCTGAGGGGTCGGCCATCAAGAGCAAGGTGCGCAGCACACCGGCAGCGTCGGCGCGCGGCCGGACAAGGCCCTTGCAACGACGGGCCGCCCGGGCTTGGCTGCACAGGCGATGCTTACGCCTTGCCGCGTGTAATCGGTCGCCTGCGCCACTAGTCACTCTCTTGCTAGTCCTTCGTGCCTTTCGCCGCTAGAATCAACATCCTGTTGGGCTAGTTGAGCACGTTGACTGACCCGATCTCCCCCATGACATCACCGTGACATCAGATGATGTATGCGGCCACCAAGGACTTCTTCAAGGGCTTCCTGGAGGGCATCGGGGCCGAGCTGCAGGTGGGTGGCTGTTGCTCGGCACGCAGCAACCTGTTGATGCACCCGCTGATGTCGTGTTATATCCTGTACCCCTGCTCGAGCACGTGCACGCGTGTCGTGCGCATCAAGCTCCCCTTGCCTGCCGTGCTTCCTGTGTCGATTTCAGCCACCCCGCAGCCAAAACCCCACCTGGCGCCCCCTGCGATCACCCACTCCTCCCCTCCACTTGGTGCACCTCCACCAGGCTAATGAGCCCGATGAGGTCACAGAGGAAGAGATCCGGCTCAAAGTGGGCGCCAACCTGTCACGCAAGTAGGGGCAAGATCCTCTTCGCCCCAGACCCCCCGCGCCTGGTCGCCCCAGATGGCAAGGCCAATTCTCAGACCGCAGGCCTGCCGGCAGACATCGCAATTCGAGGCCGCAACCAGCAGCGCTGGCGGCCTGGCGGGGTGCGCCCGTCGACCGGGAAGCACCCGCACCCGGCCCCTGCTGCGCCGTGGCTGTGCGGCCCTGGGGGAGCGCACGAGCGCGCAGGGGCCACCATCCCGAACCCGCCCATTGGTGGCTCCCAAGCGCTGGAGGGCAGGGCTGCTTGACGAGAGAGTTGCTTGAGCACTGCATGCGGGCGACTCGCCCCTGCTGCCTCCCAAAACGTGCGACTGGCTTGATTCCTTTGACGGTGCGCACGCGGCTGCTTTCGGCCCTCTCTTTTCCCCAAAGGACAGCTCGGCTGCGAGCGCCTGGAAGTAGCTAGCTCTCCTTTATTTGGCAACAAGGCGGAGGCCCGATCCTGCAAGCGGGCCGCTGCTCCCTGTCACGGGCCGACCGCAGCCCACGCCTGAGTGACCCCCCACATGCCGGTTGACCCCATACCCTCGGTCCCCCTTGACGTGCCAAAAAATGCGTGGGCCGCGGCCTGCATGTTGCTTAATCGAAACCATGACGACATCACACGCGCACGCCACACGTGCAGCCGTGACGATTGACGCCTCGAGCGGCCCCCGCGGTCCGCGCGGGGCCTTGGTGAGCCGCTGGTGAGCTTGAGAGGCCCCTGAGGCGCACGAACGCCCGGCAGTCATGCTGCTGAAGAGCCCTCGCCACCCCGTCAATTTCATTCCATTGAGTTTCGACTTCTGAAGTGCGGTGCTGAGCAGGCGTCGCGCCCTGACATGTTTTAGCGCTGCACCGCTCTGCCCTGGACTCCAAGACACAGGCCAACGCGCTCACCTCTGCGCCAATTCACCCAGTGCGCTGCCAGGCGCCACAACCGAACACCTCCCATGTTGGTTTACGCAGCACTGGCTTTCGTATGTGCTTCTGCTCTCGCGGGCATCAGGTTGATGAGATATGTTTTGGGTTCGGTTCGGTTGTAACAGCTTCTCTTTGCCAGCACCCCTCATCATTCTTGGCAGCAGCACCGGCTTCTTTCAAGGTCCAAGTGACATCACGTCAGCAGGAGTCCACCGTTGTGGTGCATACGACCGTTGTTGTAAGAGTGTGTGCTGTCCGCCTTGAATGAGGTTACCCGTTGCCGCGGCCTAGAGATTCTAAGGTCCTCAACAATAACACCAACATGATGAAGGGTTACACCCGCATGGCCATGTCCACTAACTGCCAGAACCTGAGGGCAGTGGCGAGCCAGGTGTCAGGGTTTCCGCTTTGCAGTTGACAACGCGGTTGTGCTGCGCAGTTTGAGGGACGAAATGCGGCTGCTGAGCCCAGGCCACCCGGACACATGCTGATTTCATAGATTTGGAATAGTACGATACTTGCACTCGAGCCTCCCTGATATCCATTCAAGTCCCTGACACAGCATCTAAGGTTTTGTGACTCGGACTCTGTGCAGTATACCCGGTATGCAGAGGCGTGCACGGTCATGCCCCAGCAGACCTGGACTGGTAATCTTGCGCGCCGCCTGGCCGTCATTGCCAAGTGAAGGATCACGTGTCTAAAAAATCCTTGTCAAGAGCGCTGACGGTCCGCAAAGCTTGAGCTTGCATGACTGCCTGTATGTGCCGCTGCATTGAGTGAGAGGTGATACAGCTAATTCCACCATAGTGCTGGCTGTGGGGCCCACACTGGGCCGCCGCTCGTCAGCAACGATGGGCGGGGCCCGCCGGCATTTAGTAAACCAAGCAACTGCACATGCGCAACTGAGCCCCATCCATGGCGCTCGCTCAGCTCTAAAGAAAGGAAGAGCTGCAGGACATCTGCATGTCTGATTGTGGGGCAGGGCGAGCGTGATCGTAAGGCCAGCCAATGCTCCAAAACCAGAGCGGCAAATTGAAACGGCGTCACTGGTGAACTGGCGCACCGGGCAGCAGCGCAGCGGCCGCAGTGCTCGATATCATGCAAGTTGAGGTGAGCGTTGCTAGCAGTTTTGTGTTTTTGGTAATATATCGAAATCAGGTCGACGCGCCGTTACGACGACAGCATATGTGAAGCGATCTGCCCGTTTATAGTGGTGACAAGCCGACGCATCGTACGCGATCTGCTGAGATCCTTTAAACAACGCGTGTCGTAGGCTTGTACCCCGATGAGATATGATGGCTTCAACAGATCACTGTAGATGACCGTCAGCCGTCGATGGCTTAGTGGTTATCTTGGCCGGCCTGAAATCATCGATACGGGCGTGGCGTGGTAGCAGCCAGCGATCGCAGCACAGCGACCGCGCTCCTCGGCAGACAGCGTGAAGCGCAAGGGCGCAGGGCGCAGGCGCAGCACCATCGGCGGCGGCGCTCGACCACAATGGGTGCCGAGCAGCTCGCCGCCGCGTTCCAGGCGCTATTCCACAGCGACGACCAGGCCACCAAGGTGGAGGCCAACCGCTGGCTGGACACGTGGCAGCAGACGCCCGAGGCGTGGGGCGTGTCGGACCGCGTCCTGCACGACCCCTCCAGCTCCCAGGACCTGCAGCAGTTTTGCGCGCAGACGCTGAAGACCAAGGTGGGCGGTGTGGTGTTTGTGTCAGTGACATGTGGGCGTGCGTGACTCACATGTTGTTTGGGCGTTTTGTGCGGAGGTGTGAAGGTGTGCAAGTGTATGCAGGTGGGAACGCGAATGTGTTCGTGTCTGCAAGCACGTGCAAGCGCGCGTGCGCGCTATCGTGGATGAGATCTGATTAATGAGCTGTCGACATACAGCAGGTGTGTGGAGTGTGCAGTTGCTGCCTCCAGCGGGCTTCTACTGCATCAGGCCGCACGTGCAGCTGCTGAGCAGCTGCTTCCAAGCAGGCACAGTAGTCCCAGGACCAACCGCCTTGCGACGGATCAGGGCGCTGCGGTCCCATGTCGTTCCAACACACACCTAGCCCACCAACCCAAGCACATGCTTGTTCATGACATGCCTGCATGACAACAACGTTCAAAAACCGCCAGGTCCAGAGGGACTTTGAGGAGCTGCCGCAGGATGCGGTCCCCCAGCTGCGGGACTCCCTGTTCGCGCTGCTCCTGCGCTTCGCCAACGCGCGCGCCCAGGCCGTCCGCACGCAGCTCGCGCTCGCCCTCGCCGCGCTCGCCGCGCACGTGCCCGCGGCAGCGTGGGGCGGCGAGGGCGGCGTGCTGCGGTGGTTTGCGGAGCGGTTTGCCAGCCAGGCGAGCGACGTGGCGCTGAGCTGCATGCTGGAGATTCTGACGGTGCTGCCGCAGGTGAGGGAGGGGGGGGTAGTGGTAAGGGGGCCGCACGGGGCTGGCAGCGGTTCAGCTAGTTGGGATGACCACCCCTAGGGACCGCTGGGCAGTGCATTGGGGTGATGGCAGGGCAGGGGCCTGCATTGTGCACACACGGCCGGCCACTTTTGCTGCTCCAGCGGGGGACAGCGGGGATGCTGCCGTGGATTAGAGTGGGGAGGTGCGCGGGGCAAAGCGTGGTGGATCAGCAGTGCCCGCGGCTGTAGGGCTGAAGACTAGAAGCAACAGGGGAGGCAAACGTGAGGGGATGTTGCAAGGGGAAACACTGCGCAGCCACGCAGGCATGTGCCCACGCTGTAAGACAAACCACACCACACGCTCTGTGCGCCCCGCAGGAGGCTGACAGCCGAAAGATCAGCTGCCGGCCAGAGCGGCGCGCGGCCTTCCAGGAGGAGCTGCGGGGCTACCTGCCCCACGCGCTGGAGGTGCTCACCAGGTGTGCGCACACGCGCGCGCGCGCGTGTGTTTGTGTATGTGTGAGTGTGTGCGTGTGCGTGTGCGCGTGTGTGTGTGTGTGTGTGTGTGTGCGTGTGCGTGTGTGCATGTGTGCGTGTGCGTGTGCGTGTGTGCGTGTGTGTGTGTGTGTGTGTGTGTAAGAGGAGTGTTGCGCATCAAGGCGGCGGGGTGGTGATCAGGGTCCTGTGTCCCTGGACCTGGGGCTGCGTGTCGCAGGGGAGCCAGGGGCGGGGGGCGTGCTGTCTCAATGGCAGTCGCCGCAGGCGGGGCGTGCATGGCGGCCGGGCAGGCGGGCGAGAACGGGGTTCAACATACACAGTCCTGACGTTTGACCCGGGCATACCCAGACGTCTGAGCACAGGCAGCTGCGTCATGTGGACGCTGTCCCGATCTGATGTCGAAAACATCGCCCCACTCTCACCGGAACTCGTGGCCCGCACCGCCGCCCCCCGCAGCTGCCTGGCCCAGCCCGAGCACGTGCGTGGCCAGGTGCTGGAGGCGTTTGGCTGCTGGCTGCGGCTGTCTGGCGGCCGCGGCCTGCCGGACGGCTTCGAGGCCCACCCCCTGGTGGCGGCGGCGGCGGCCGGGCTGCGCAGTGAGGCGTCCTTCCACCAGGCCGTTGACGCGGTGAGCGGCCGGCGGCTGGCGGTGTTGGCGGTTGGCTGTTGACGGTGCCAGCGGTGCGGGGTGGTGTCGCGGCCGCCGGGGCCTGGCTGAAGTGCCCATTGATGTCCTCCTCCTGGGAGGGCTCCTACAGGCTGTTGCGTGGGTACTGTGTTGTGGCCATCTTGTATTGGGGCCGCCTTTTCAGGGAGGGAAGGGAGAGGCAGCTGCCGGTGTCGGTGGTCGAGCTTTTGTGAGGTCTGCAGGGCAATCACCACCCAAGCAGCGGAGGCGCTGGCGGGGCGGCGCGGGGCGGCCGGCTGCAGCGGTGGGATGAGCCCCCCGGGGCCTGCTTCAACACACCCCGCTCTTCCCGGGCCCGAACTGACGAAGACCCACCATGCCGCCCACCGAACCCCCCATGGCTCGGCCCCCGCCAGGTGTGTGAGCTGATCTGGGTGACGGTGGACCCCCAGACCTGCGCCCCCAACCCGGCCATGCAGCCGCTGGCGGCCGATCTGGTCAGGGCCGTCATGGAGCTGCGGCCGCGCTTCACCACGGCGCTGCGTGTTGCGCAAGCAGGTGCGCGCGTGTGCCCCGCCCCGTGCCGCATGCTGCCACTGCCGTTGCCGTTGCAGTTGCCGTGGCCCTGGCCATGGCCTTTGCACTCCCCCTCATCTCCCCTGCTCCCTGACCCCTGTCGTCTGACTAATCGGCGCCCGGTCACGCCTGACAGCTGGCATGGTGTGGTGTAGTGCGTGCAATCCTATCGACCCCTACGCCCTCCCTGATGCACCTCAACCCCCTGAGTGCACAACACCACACTTGCACTGGAGTTCCGCTCCACACATAACTAAACAGTCGCCTCTTGTTTCACCACCACCAAACCGCGCCATGTCAACTGCCCGCCAGAGTCTGAGGGGCGCCCCAGCGCTGATGATGACGTGGCGGACGAGTTTGACGACGACTTTGACGCCATCAAGGGCATGGGGCGGCTGTTCTGCGAGGTGGGGG